GCTAACTACTGGACGTAAATTAGCCTAGAAAAACCACACAACAGCCAGGAGTTGTTGGGGTTGGTTCTGCAACGTCCTGTAAAGGATACGCAACTAACCTCATCTAACTCCTCTCTTCGACGCATTACGATGTAAGCAGTTAGACAAAAATGAAGAAAAGAGAAATGCAACCATTCCCTTTATTTAATTTATTATGAACATTGCGCAATCTCATGTTTTGTCTTCCACGTTTTCTCCGAACATCCCCTCCCCCCCCCCACACCCCCCCCCCCCCCCCCCCCCCCACGTCGCCAGTAGAAAGCTGCATAAGGAAGGATCAAAACTGAAGTCAATCTGCCTGTCATTACCTTCATCTCAGCGTTCTGGTTACGCTCTTGTCTCGTCTACCGGCTCAGTCACAAACGTCAATACTGTGGACAAGCCTGCTCACTTGTCTAACGTGTACGTCATGTCATTACCACTTTGTCGATTAAATTCCAGATCCTGTGCTAAACTGATGTAAGCCTTGAAAGCCGCAATGTATGCAAAACGTATTCTAGCATAGTCCAGGATTTATTAGGGAGTCATCGTGGCTTAGCGGCTAGACGCTCGCCTGCAGATTGGAAGGTCGAGGGTTCAGATCATTATTAAGGTTGAGGGATTGTCTTCTGTTGGGGGCAACAACAATAAAACCTCGACGTGCGCCGTCCGTAGCAAGAGAATGTTTGATGTTTACTGTTTAAAACCGACATCACAGAACTCTAGACATTCCCATAGGAGCACCGTCCCCGTCTTAAGCAGCAAGCTCAAAGTTCAAATTCTATTGGTGCCAATAGCAGTCTGCATGTCCGTTTCACCTTTTCCTTGAGTGCTGATCGTCGACCTGATCCACTGGTCACACCTCGCAGTATCTCTTCACACCGTGATGATCATTCTGTGCTTTTGCACTGTTCGCTCGGCCCAAAGAGGGCATTATAACAGTTAGCTTTTAATGCATCAATTCACCACCAAGTTGTGCAGAACCAGCCAGTCTGTCTGTTTATTTCCCAGTACACCGGCTTATCCTGGGAAACATATATAAAGGACGCTATCTGGGACCTCTAAAATATTATTGCCACTCTTCTTCACGGAGCTTAGCGGTGTCCGCCTTTCTCATCATGCTCTGTGAGTCAGTTATTATTATGACATGTGTGTGCAGCTGATTCTCAAACCAGCGAAAGGCTACAGTGACCGCCTCCACCTCCATTCTCACACTAAATGTTGTAATCACTTTTGCTGAGAATCCCCATGCGGTTCGCCTACTACTCAAAACAGAGCCATCTGTATCGATTAATTATCATATCACCTGGGCGATAATTATCATGAATCATTTGCCAACTTCTGATTCTGCAGCGCCCACACACGATTCAGTGTGATCAGAACCCTATACACGTCTGATTTTCAGACACACTGCTCTCCTCGCTAAATGTTATCAAGCCTACACACATTACTACTAATTGTGTTTTCAGCTTGCACCATCCAAGACCTTTCTCTTTTCAGTCTGTGACCCTTAGCGCTTCATGCAAGGTTTTTTTTTTTTTAAATCTGTGGCTATTCTAAGATGTGACTTAGCTTGCAGTACTATGAGTCTATCTGTAATAGTCGGCAGTGAAAGTTTATATCGCATATATTCTAGAGGCTATTTCCTGTACATCCCAGAATTACACTTATAACTTTATTCTATATGCGTTGAAGTTTATTAGCTGACACTTTGATATGGTAAGCATTCTAAGTCCATAATCCATTACAGACAAGACATATCGAATGCTGGAACAATTTGAACAACATTATTTGTTTCATATCCATTACTGCCATAACCTTAAGTGCATTGAGTCCTTTTTGGCGTTTCGCCTCAACTGCCTCGACATAATACATGAAGGACAGGCTTCTGTTGACAATGAATGAGGAACCTTAGTTTGGTTTATCTCTTGATATTTCTATCAATATCTGGGAGACCTGGAACATCAGCTCTTGCAATTAAATTGTCTAGAGAGCACCACGACATCACCCATTTCTACACACCAGTAAATCATGTTGTCTACAGCTGCTTGTAGTTCGTGGTCTGTATGTTGTCTGTCGCTCCCGTTCCTATATGTAAGAACATCATTGGCAAATGGCAATCTTCTTCCAACAGCTGGTGCTTCAAGTTCGGCAATCAAGCTTGTATACACTTTGAAGAGCATTGCTGAAATTGCAAAACTCTGGGGTAAACCAGGGGGGATTTAGCCTGCTTCTGTGGTCAATGTACCCAGGTGGAAGGCATTTACACATTTTCTCCCAGATTTACGGTATCTATCATGGAATCAAGGCCGAAGGGTTGCGATATCCATGGTACTCAGCCAAAGGGTTAACAACTCATGGTTTCTGGATATTAATAAATAAAAAAAAAATACAAGTGTGTAGATTGGAAATCTGTTGACATGTGCAGCGATATGTGGTGATAATTATGATAGCCTATTCACCACTCAATGAAAAATCCGCAACTCACGGGAGACTTACTCTGGCGATGACCACCTGAGAGCGAAACGTCTATTAAACGAGTGCAGTCAGATGTTTTGAAAAGTTTCCCCTACTTAGTTTATTCAAGTTACCGTAAGCATGTTGATTGTTAGCTTTGAATCGGGCGTCTGTTTTATCGTGTACCGCAAATAAGGTAAAATGAGAACCTAACGTTTGCTTACATTAATATATTTACAAGACAATTGTTATTATTAACAGGCTGTATGCTAAATCATTTTATAAAACGAAGAGCATCTTGTGAAATATATCTTTGTCATTGAGAGTTAGGAAAAGAATTCTTGCTTGCTACATACATCCAGTTTTAAAATATGGCTGTGAATCCTGGACAATCGTTAGGCAGGCCAAAAATATTCTTGAGGCCTCGGAGATGTGGTTTTACAGAAGAATGCTTAGAATACCTTGGACAGCCCAAAAAAAAAAAAAAAAAAAAAGCAACCAAGAGGTTTTGAAAGAGGCGGAAGCTAAAGACAACTTATCACAGACATCAGAAGGAGACAGTCATCATAGAACATGTTGTGACCACTGAAAAGATCTGTGGAAGGAAGGATAGAGAAAAACAACGAGAGAAGATTCTTGACAGTCTTGTTGCCTGGCATGGAGGTGTGTCTGCACACAAGCTGATACATGCTGCAAAAGATCGTAGATTATAGAGAGGCTTGAACGCCAACGCCAGTCGGCTAGACATATGATGATGATGATGATAAATTCAACACCTCACACGAAACGGTTACTGAGTTACAGATGTTTAAAGTTCTCATCAGGACTTCTGAAATGCACTATACGTCCTGCAGCCATCTTTGTCCCCGTGCTGGTCACCAGTCATCACAAAAGCACCCATCTGATGGGTTAATAATTTATACGAACTTGTTTACATGACCCAGTCTGTCGATGCTTTCTCCACAGCACTGTTCAGTGCCAGTGGGCCATGTTTACAACTGATGCGGTGAAGATACGTAAGTCCTGTGTTTGCCAGTTGCCACATGTATCAATGCGAAACCGACAGAACCAGATACAATATTGATATTAAGCAAACTCAGAACTGACACCAATAAGCATCTTTACCCAACCGCTCGTCTGTGATCACTTTATTTCACTCAACCAGCTAATGATCTTCATCAGCATCCTCTTCCTCATCATCCTCCTCCTCATCATCATCATATTTATCATAATCGCGTCATCATCATCACCTCCACCACTATCATCAAGTATTTTTGCTCTCATGTTGGCCGCCAAGATTTCTAGCGTTTCAGTTTCATGACTGTCCCCCATGTGCATTCTAGGGCCCCGTTGTGTGGGGGAGCGGGGGGATTAGACTCACTTCCCCTCTAACAAGCATTCCAGGGCCCCGTTGTGTGGGGGAGCGGGATTAGACTCACTTCCCCTCTAACAAGCATTCCAGGGCCCCGTTGTGTGGGGGAGCGGGATTAGACTCACTTCCCCTCTAACAAGCATTCCAGGGCCCCGTTGTGTGGGGGAGCGGGATTAGACTCACTTCCCCTCTAACAAGCATTCTAGGGCCCCGTTGTGTGGGGGAGCGGGGGGATTAGACTCACTTCCCCTCTAACAAGCATTCCAGGGCCCCGTTGTGTGGGGAAAAAGAATAGAACCATTGCCCCTCTAACAAGCATTCCAGGGCCCCGTCGTAGGGTAAAAGATTGGAGCCATTGCCCCTCTAACAAGCATTCCAGGGCCCCGTTGTGTAGGGGAAAAGATTAGAGCCATTGCCCCTCTAACAAGCATTCCAGGGCCCCGTCGTGTAGGGGAAAAGATTAGAGCCATTGCCCCTCTAACAAGCATTCCGGAAAAGGCAACTAACTGTGTGTGTGTCTTCTCCGAAGTCGAAGTGTGTGTGCCTGAGAGGTAAATAGTGAGCAGTCTCATAACAATCACACCAGATCTGTAAAACGGATGTGCACGCTAAACTCAAGTTCCAGAAAAAGACCAAAATACAGAAGAGGAACCAGAACTTTCCACTGATGAACGCTAAAAAGAAGAATGCCATCATTGTACGAGTTATTTTCAACTCTCTAGAAATCAAAGTAAGTCAACACTCTGCCTTTACGGGATACACCGGCTGCATTTACTTCTGAGGATATTTCCCTTAGCATTTTAAATAATATGTCAACAGACGAGCTCAACGTTACTTATGTAAATCTGAATGCATTTTTTCTTCCTTAGCGTTCACATGTTGTAAATCCTAATAGAAACTTTTGGTTGTTTGTCTACTTCTGGACTTAAGTCTTGTTCCAGAAAATTCAAACATGAAAGGAGACAGTGAAAACAGAAACATAAAAGAAGACAGCGAAAACAGAAACATGAAAGAAAACATTGAAAACAGAAACGTGAAAGAAGACAGCGAAAACAGAAACATGAAAGAAAACAGTGAAAACAGAAACATAAAAGAAGACAGCGAAAACAGAAACATGAAAGAAAACAGCGAAAACAGAAACATGAAAGAAAACAGCGAAAACAGAAACGTTAAAGAAGACAGCGAAAACAGATAAGATGAAAGAAGACAGCGAAAACAGAAACGTGAAAGAAGACAGCGAAAACAGATAAGATGAAAGAAGACAGCGAAAACAGATAAGATGAAAGAAGACAGCGAAAACAGAAACGTGAAAGAAGACAGTGAAAACAAAGACAATAAAGAAGACAGTGAAAACAGAAACACAAAAGAAGACAGCGAAAACAGAAACATGAAAGCAGACACGTGTTACTACATGAATCATACCGCAGAATATCGCTTCTAAACGATGAATTGAAGGGTGCTCGCCTGTTTTGTGTGTGAATCATTTATGACTTGTGGCGGTGCAGGAACACTTGTAATATAAAACCTGTCAAACCTAAATAGATTTTGATTTCTACTTCGTAATCGTCATCGGTATTGTCGTCCTCACCCTTCCTCTTCTTATCCTCCTTCTCATCTTTGCTTGGTACGTTAAGAGCTGCGAAACCTCGTTCACTAACTTAACGAAATAAGAGCTATTTTCGCCACTCTAGTATTACTAGCATGTTTTTTTTTTTCTACTTGATATTTAACTTAGCTCCCAGGTCGACTCAGCTTAAAAATTTGTACCAAGCAATCTACATAGATGAATAGGACAGTAGAACAGACAATAACTACCTGTGAAATGCTCTGTCCCCACAAGGTCGCTAAAAACACAAGAAGAGACAGGGTTACGAATATAAACATAAGAGAGAAAGTTGGAATAAGACCATTCTGGCTTATATTACCAGACAAAGAATGAAATGGTTCGACCATTTAGTGAGAATGCAGCCAGACCCAACTTTACATGAGACTTTTAACAATACTACATCTGGGAGGAAGACCAAGAAAGAACCTGATAAATGTTGTAGCTAAAACTTGCACAAAGATAAATAAATCCATCACCCAAGCCACCTGAGAATGCAAACCAGATACAGAAAACCAGGACACAACTTGGCATCAGAAAGACAACAAAATAGGAAAGAGTGCTTTTTTATTATTCAACCCCAAACAGGGGAAATCAACAGGTCACGGGACAGTCTAATATTTCAGGAGGTTGTAGACAGACTGCATGCAGGAAGCAAAGAACCGGAATATCAGGTGTGACTACACACCACAAATAAAAGGAAATCGAATAAGACAGCAAAAGAACCTTGCTTCATATAGCAGGCCTCTAGGCGGCTGAAAAAGGATCAAATTTGGAATTTTTGTTGGACGAATTGGAATTGGAATTGGACTGCATGCAGTCGTGGGACCTAGGCTTCATACATTTGTGGGACCTAGGCTGTACTCTCTCGTGGGACGAAGGTGGGTTGGGGTTAGAGCCAGTTCTAGATGTTTTGGGGTAGTTAGAAGCATCAACAAACCGGGAAACCCAGTCTTACCACCCTCTAAAATGTTACTGTCCTGTGACGTCATCTGGGGGTAAGATAATAATAGAGAACCGAAGTGAGAAGAAGAAAATCCACGGAATTAATGGCGACCACACGATGTTGACCACATCACTCGTCGAAGAATCTATCATCAAATATGAGTCTATCATCAAATAATCTATCATCAAATATAAATCCATAATCAAATATGAATCCATTATCAAATGCTTTATGACTTATGCACATATAGGTAGAAGGTTCTTCTACTGAAGTTTCTTTCTCAATGTTCATATCGCCTTGTAATTAAACCAATCTTTTCACAAAGCCAAGTTTACATTCTGATCCTGGCTAGCCTACGATGGAAGTGATTGCAGTGTCCCCTGTCTCGTAAATAACATATTTGTCAACATCATTGCCGTGAGTATTAACAGAAATAACATTCCCCACTCTCATTTTAATTAACTAGAATCTTCTGTGTCAATGTCTAGTTCCTGCCAGCCGCTGACAAAAGTGGCAATATTGTGCAGTGCACATTTTCAATAGAAATTGTTAGGGACGGAGAGTAGGTAGGTAGGCGTTTTGCTGTAAAGAAAAAAAAAAGTCATGTTTAACCAGCATCTCTGAAGAGGCAGCTGCAGGTTATAATTGTGACTAGGTTATGTGCGTCATATAAAATGGCTTATCATTGCAAGCCACCAAAAGCCCTGAAAAGGACTCCAGCAGTGCTGATGCGATCAGAGCACAAAGACCCAAATACTGTCCCGACCGACGACGAAATGGTCTACCGGCGAGCCAATAGGCGACCCGGTGGTCGATGTGACGGAGAGAACTGGCAGCGCAACGGCTAGAAGTTTGCCTGTTCACTTGAAGTATTTCCCCCATTCATAGTTTTCAAAATGAACTTGCGTTTCCAAGTCTTCTTTTGTTCGCTTATATTCTGCTTAGGACCGCTACGCGTCGCAGGTCGGTCTGACCCAGCCCGGGCACACTTGATTGCCCGGATTGCTGTGATGTTGAAGAGTCTCAAGGTCTTTTTTTAAAACCCATTCTCTTCTTGGTCGTCCCCTACCTTTTCGTGTTTTTGCATTCGTTTTGTACGCTCTCTTTGCTTGGTCTATCTAGTTAAAAAGGATATCAGGAAATGTTAAGGGAAGGCAATGCGACTGGCATGACTTCAACATCCGCTGTGCGTCCCATGCCTCCTCATAGAGCAATATTATATCAATCATCATATCTCGCATGCCAGCTGGTCTATACATTTATAGGTAAAACAACACACATCCGAACGCCATGGCCATCTTATTTCAATCACCCACATCTAAGTCAAACCATATACAAACCAGCTGAAGTCAAGGGGAAACCACCACTGTACTATCCCAATAAAATCATGCCTCAAAATAATACGTATTCAGATAACGACGTGAATGGGATTCCGGTGGAATCACCTCGTCCGGTAGGGAGCATCATGTTCTACGGGTGATACCCGACCGTCATTCAGCTACTGTAGAAAAAGTAAATGAAAGAAACATCATGAACATTTATTGGTTCATGAAATGTCAGAACACTCGTACAAAACGGAAAGCTGGATAACATCAAGATGGAAATGAAGAGAATGAACATCAACATATTAGGAATTAGTGAAATGCGATGGCCAGAAACAGGGAAAAAGTATTCAGATCAGCACAGAATTATTTACTCTGGTGGGGAGGAATATAGTAAGGGAGTTGGTATTATTTTGGATCCTAAGAACTCAAAAACTGTTAAAGGATTTTAGACAATATCAGATAGAGTACTATTAGTAAAACTTCGCGGCAGACCGTTTGACATCAACTTAGTACAGATTTATGCCCCAACAGCAGATAGTTCAGAGGAAGACATTGACGCATTTTATGATGAGTTAGACATGGCTGTTGATCAATGCAAAAATTGTGAAGTATACTTGGAGATTTCAACGCGAAAGTAGGAAGTGAAAAAGTGTAGGGAATAACGGGTGGCTATGGCCTAGGAGAGAAGAATTTGAGAGGTGACAGATTAATAGCATGGACTGAGTCGCGCAGCGTGATTATAGGTAACACCTGGTTTAACATCATCCTCGAAGATTGTGGACTTGGAAAAGTCCTGGTGATAATGTCCGCAATCAGATTGGTTATTTTTTGATTTCAAGAAGATTCTAGAGCAGCTTAGTTGGAGCAAAAACTAGACCAGGAGCAGACTGCTTTAGTGACCATGTTTCAGTTGTAGGAAAAATTAGAATAAAACTAAAGAACATTAGAAAAACACCACAGAACATCAAGTTAACTTTAGGAATTCTTAGAACGGATAAAGAAATTAAGGAACAGTACAATGTCACTGTACAAAACCGGTATAATGCAATGGAAATTATATAGACTATTGATGAACAGTGGGATATGTTGCGTGAGTCAATTAAGCAGACATCAAAAGAGACAATCCCATCAACCCATATAGTTGCAAAAAAGAAATGAATGTCAACCGAAATTCTGCAGTTGATGAATAAAAGAAGGAAGAAAAAGAATGATAAAAAAGAATACTGTAGAATACAAAAAGAAATAGTGAACAAATGCAAAGTGGCTAAAGAAGCCTGGCTGAATCAAATGTGTACAGTGATTGGGGAAAATCACAGGAAAGACTCACATTCCAAGAACCAACAGATAAATATGTTAACAGGAAAGATGAAACGTAGCAGCACTGGATGTTTGAAAGATGGTGACTTAATGAGACATAGTAATATAATTAACAGATGGACAGAGTATATAGGGGAATTGTATGATGATAATAGACCAGACGTAGAACTGCAGACCAACAATGATGGTCCACCAATAATGACTGCAGAAGTTGAGAATGCAATACATCATATGAAGAAAGGAAAAGCACCCGGGCCAGACAACATCTCACTGGAAGAAATCGAAGCACTTGGAATTTTGGAATTGAAATTATAACTAAACTTTTAAATGATATTTATAATATGGGTATATTCCAAATGACATTTTAAAATCCATATTTATAGCTCTGCCAAAGAAACCAGGCACTTTAAAATGTGAAGACCATCGCATAATAAGTCTTATGAGTCACATGACTAAGATTTTACTGAGAATAATTATGAGAAGAATAAGAAACAAAATTAAACCAGAAATCAGCGATGAACAATGTGGATTTGTAGAAGGAAAAGGTACAAACAATACCATTTACATCCTAAGGACATTGTCAGAAAGAGCTATAGAAGTAAAGACTGATTTGTACTTATGCTTCATAGACTATACAAAAGCATTTGACTGTGTGAAGCATGAAGAAGTAATCAAACTTTTAGAAAAATTAAACATTGATGGAAAAGATCTACGAATAATAAAGAATATTTATTGGCCGCAAACAGCAGCTATAAGAATAAACAACTGTTTAGGTACATTTCAAAGCATAAAGAGGGGCGTACGAAAAGGATATATACTTTTACCTGATTTGTTTTCAATATACAGTGAATATATAATGAGATCTTTAATTGATATGCCCGGAATTGTGGTTGGTGGGCAAAATATAAACAATTTACGATATGCTGATGACACAGTCTTGATAGCAACAAGTCAGAAAGAATTACAGGAAATGATAGACATTGTGGTGTTAGAAAGTGGAAGAATGGGCCTCAGTTTGAATAATGGGAAGACAGAAGTAATGGTGGTATCAAAGAAACAAATTATTCCTAAATGTGTAATAAAAGTAAATGGTGTTATTTTAGGACAAGTACATAAATTTAAGTGCCTGGCCACATGGATAACATCAGATTGAAGATGCATAACTGAAATGAGAAACATAATTGGACAGGCAAAAACT